TTTTTTTCCCCCCTGCCAGTTATTGAGCAGATATCTGTTCAGATTTACTGTAAAGTTAATAACATAATTTTAACTGTAGACCCCTGAACTTCCCTCTTTCAACGAGTCCATTATATTGGATTCAATCAAAATAACTTGCCAAGCACCGCAGGTGGTTCAAAAGTAAACCTTACATTTTAACAATGGTTCTTCACAAACTACAGTGTGCATATGATTAACCCTCAGAGAGCTGGATTACCCATAATAATAATACTTGCATTTGATATAGCACCTTATCGCGTCTTCGAGATGCCTCAAAGCGCTTTGCAGAATATACTGTAAAATGAATTGACTGTGTATTTTGTGGGCGAAACGCGGCAGCCAACTGCGCATCCTTTTGAATGCACAACGGTTGCTTTTTACGTTCAGAATCCGTCAGGACTCACCTGACATTGGACCAGGACCCGTGAAGTACACACGGGTAAACCAGACTGCAACAAGAGTGAGTTCTGAAGATCTCGATGCCTCTCCTGACCCACTGTCAATGCCACCTGAACAGTACTGCTGTACTGTCAATGAAAGGTTAAAGGCCCTTCCTTCACAAGGCAGCAGTTTGGGAGAAGGCTGAGTTGCCTTGGAGCCTGGAGGGATGGACTGTTTTGTAAAATTGACAGTCTGATTCAGTAGTAAGGATAAAACAAAATCCCTAAAGTTACTTGTGCAGTCGTACTGACAGCTGAGTATTCTAAGTGTGTGTGTGTGTGTGTGTGTGGATGTAGCAGTCAGTGGGTTGTGGCAGGAATTTCAAAGTTGATTCAATCAAACAATTCTGTGCAGGTGGAAACTTACAGGATTTGAAGTAGCAACTTCCGACCTCCAGTACAGCGCAGTTTGGCATTAAAATGTGAAGCTTAGCGAAGGCGGGTCCAAATCTCTTGACTTGCACAAGGAATACTCGATGAATAAAAAAAGGCACACTTCCATCTACTGGCAGTACTTTGTTTCACTCCAGACTCTTCCCATGTAAATATTTATCGTCCTCGATAAATGGACAAACCTGGTTTGTGCAAGGCCACCCTAGACAGGTGTCTTTGGCATTCATACGTTATCGGAAGCCTGTCTCCTGAGATAAATCCTCAAGAGCAAACTGGAGGAAAAGTAAGTGAGAAGCGTAAAATCTCATCATCTTATTATTATGAACTTATCTTGAGATAAGTTGAGCTTAGTTGAGATCTCTTCTTCATTGAAAACAATTGCCTTGGGAGATCTGTAGATCTATAGACCAGGTTGCCCGTTGAGATTCAAAAAGTCACCATCTAAAAATACTCAATTTGTTCAGAGATGGACAATCATAGGGTGAGAACAGACAATCTCAAAATGGTTCTAGGGTGAGTGGAGCTTTACAACCAGTTAGAAACAAGGGACCATACCGCCTACTTGACCACACTCATGACAATTGTCTTTATTTACTTTGATGTGTCCTTCAAACAAAAAATTACAGATGAAATTCGCTCGTTCGTGACGCGTTGCATATTCTTATTTAGGGAGATTTCTCAACTCATCGCAACATGGACACGAGGTTACAACGACGACGATGACAACAACAACAACTTGCATTTATTTATACAGCGCCCTTCACGCGGTGTAGCTTCCTGGAATGCTTACTTTGCCTGTTAGACTGGAGGCATGAGCCATAACAATTGTGCCCCATTGTATCTGGTGGTTCATTCTACCAGTGGTGTGTTGTATGAACGGCTCGTTGGATCATTGTCCCACAGACTGTTCCGCAGAGCAGCATGGTATAGTTCTGCGCTAATTATTTCCGACTCAGTGAATTCCAGTCTCAGTTGGATAATAGTGGGGCCTACACCTGCTGAGCTGAGGCAAGAAGTAGATCTGTATTTATGACCTAACGTCCTCCCAAACGTGTTTCCAGCACTGTGGCTTGCTGCAGGCTTGATAAGAAAACTTCCGGCAGAAGAGTTATACGACCACCTTCACAAAGGCAGGAGATGCGGAGCTTAAAGAATGCCATATTGTGAGAAGTGGGTCCTTCCAATGAGATATCAAACCAAAGTCTCAGCTGCCTGTTCGAGTGGACGTTCCAATAGTGCTGCTTGCCACCCACCCCACCCCCATTGGGAAAGAGGAGCCTCTTTCACTGGATCCTTTTGCTCTGAAAGAGGACACCTCTCTCTCCAGACGAGATGCCGGGATCAAGGATGGCTCTAAATGTCTCTGTCACGACTGCTGTCAGTGGCACTCGGTCCGCACCAGGGCAAGCTGAGAGCTGTGGGAGATGGGGGTACGCTTCCCAATCAAGGTGCTGCTGCGGTTCTCACTCAAGATGGACACTTTGCTCAGCTCTGAGAACTGAGGGGTTTCCCTTTTGATGGGTGGGGCGGAGTGGGGCAAGTGTCTTGATGAGCGCTGATGAGTGTTTGCTGAACATTGTTTCAGCTTTTCCTGTTTATTGATGCTGCTGTTCAACTCCAGGTTTGTCTTTCTTTCTTTCTTTCTTTCTTTTTAATAAACATCAGAGGTCCGCAGGGACCCTGCGGGAAAGATCAGATCCCTTAATGTCATCCGTTTGAAAAATCCTGTGGTTTTCTCCTGACAGAATTAGCTGCGTGAATCCATCCCCAGCCTCAGCTCCAGTACTTGACATCTCATTATTTGCCTCAGCTGTTTCCAGCATCACCTTCACCTACCTAATTAAGTAGCTCATTGAATATATTATTCATAATCCAACTCCCCACTCTGTCAGAAGAGACTTGATGCACTTGCAGAAATGGCCCACTTTATAGGATGACTCAGAGAGGGAAAAGAGAGAGAGAGAAGAGGGGAGTGCTAATCCGGAGTTGATCACCAGCGATAATCCCACCAGCTACACGCAACTCTGGTCAGAAATGCAAGACAAAATACATAATGTCTGGTGATTTAGGTTAGTTTTCAACCATTCGTAACTGGAATTTATTGTTCAATAATCTAAATCGTATTTATTCACGTATACAGTTTTTTTTAATCACTAACAGTGATAAAACAGTACTAAGTCGTATCAGTTGGGACCATACATTTAATATGACTTTTGCCAAGTATGAGTTATGTCAAACTCGCATGGAATATAAACTCTTGAACAGGACTTGGGTCGTTGCATGATTTAGGCAACTATACGATTTATGCAGATCAGTTTTATCAGACGAGCTTTCCTGCATTTCCATTTAGTCTGGAAGAACTTTGTTTGTAACATAAACTCAGACTTGGTGTTACTTTCCAAGCACCCCGCTCAACATACCAGAGAATTTACACCAGAGAACAAACACATTGAGTGAGAGAAGACCGACCCCCTAATCTGAAATTGGCATGAATTCTCAGTTGTTTTGAGTAACACGAGCAAAGGTCATCGGGACTAAATCGAAATAGCTCAACTGCTGCTCCGGCAGCCTGTGAAATACAGGGTAAACACCCTCGAAATCATTAGTCGTGGCTCAGTTAATACAGGCACTGTGACTGGACTGAAATGGAGCTCATCAAACTCAGATTATGGGTTAACTGGCCTAAAACAGTGAAGCAGTAAAGTGCTATCATTAGTCTCGCTATTTCTAAGAGAGAGAGAGTGTGAAAAAAATGTCAATCAAGGCTCCACCTCTCAACTATAATCCGGTACCTTGCCGGATACCAAGTGTTTTGTGCGTCTGCGCAAATATACGTGTGTATAAGTGTGGTGCGTTCACTTTGAACGAAGACAGCATTGATCTTTGCGGTGGACGCTGCCTGATAAATGCTCCGGGTCGCTACCACACTGGAAGGGCGCTATCTCAATACATGTTGTTGTTGTTGTTGTTGTTGTTGATTGATTGATTGATTGATCGCACAGGACGCCCCAGTACTCAGTGCCTCGCCAGACGTACAGAGAAGGGTTGTTTGGACAAGGTACCAGAGGGTAAAAAAAAATCACCTGTGGTAAAACGTTAAACACTTGCAAGTAGGAACAACGATTGACAGGTGCAACTCGTCCCTGTAATGCTATAGAACAGAACCAGACTCTTTTTGATGTTTGTTCAGGAAAAAAATTAATTGAACAAACCAGTTGACTCAGAGAGCAAAAGGTGCATGAAAAAGGGGGAAACCTTAATGGATTTCAGCATTGTGTCGAAAATAGCCCTCTCCAGTTGGGCAATTTTTTCGGTCCGGATTTTCTGCTGCGATCGAATCGTTTTTAAGCAAATAAGAATTCTGGTGAAGAAACCCGTTGAATAAACAAGAGTAAAAGCAGCGAGGGGAAGTGTATCAGATATATAAGCTGCAGCCTAGGATGCTGGATTTAACCTTGTGCGTGTGCGTGTGGATAAAATGGTAATATGTGGCTCCTGGCTACCATCTACTGGTGTATTATGAGTTTAGCAAGCTAAGAAAAAAGATACGTGAGTACATGAGGAAAACCTGTGGACTGAGTCACTCAAATACTTATCTATAATAATGGCCAGACCCATCTCACCCACACTTCATCCAAACACAGTGAGTCAGGGAACGGGCAGCTTAAATAAAAGAGCAAATAATACCAGCTTTCACATGCAAGTGAGCACTTTCTCTGTCACGGATACAAACAGAGGCTCCCTGATAGGGACAGTCCGCCTTAAACATTATTTCCATTTTTTTTGTTCTTTTTCTAAATCATCCTTTCTTTTAACTAAGCGGTAACAATCCATGAACAGGTTAACCTTCCCGCAAAGCTCCTCAAAATAACACTTCGTTTTTTGCGGGGGGGGGGCGTCAAGCTGCTAAAATATTAGGTGTGTCGACTTTCTGTGTCCTGTGCCAATGTCTCTGGCTCAAAGGTTGTTGTAGAAGATCCCAAAATGGGATATTTCATCCTTCAGAGAAACATTCATTAACCAGGTATTCACTTAATGCAATGGATGGTAGGTTCCAACCACCCAAACCACCCCAATGTGCTTTACAAATGGTCGAGCATTTACATCATGGGTGCCTTTGCTAATGCATTTTATTATTGATTTCAGGATCCAAAGACAGAGTGCAATAGCTGTGTAGACAAAGAGGACAACACAGTGAGTAAAATCATTTCATTAAATGCTTAGCTCTATTTTTTTTCTCTCTCTTTCTCTCTCTCTCTCTCTCTCTCCCTATATATATATGTGTGTGTATACCTAAATAAATAACCGACTTCCTAAAATGGTTACTCAACGGAGAACGATAATCATCTGTAATTTTAGAAGAGTCAAACTTGCTCGTACAAGAGAGACTGACGGTAAAACTTTGATGCTGATTGAAAAAAGATGTGTAGTCTGTCGAGCAGTGTTGTGCCTTTGTTAAGTTTAATTGCAGCAATGTTATGGTTTTAATTGTCCCATTGCACCTGTTTTCTTAACAGAAGAAGGGTCCATTAGGGTACACTATCACTAGGATTTAGCTAATGCTGCTGAAAGCAACAGGATATTGAGTTTTGCCTGGGGCTGTCCTTAACATATCCATAATTTAAGACTCAAGCTGTGTAGCAGACTAATGCTATTAGCACACTAATTGTAAGGTAGGAATTAGACATCAAGTTACTGTTTCCTTCAGGTAATCTGAGAAATAAATGCCCTGCATCTCTGCAAAGGGATCTAAATCTCTGCTTTATTTGTGCTGTTGTGCAGTTCAGTGAAAATATTGCGTAATTTGAATTTCAGAGAGAGGGGGAGAGACAGAGAGAGAGAGTGAGTGAGGGGAAAAACAAAACTGTATGTTATACTGGAGAAATGATCACTTTCTAACCAGGTAACAGTGTTTATCATGTTGAACGTGGCTTAGGTTGAGGTGTGTGTGTGTGTGTGTAAAAAATTTCAGCACAACATTTGTTATGCTACTATCAAATAGTTCTGAGTAGTTCTGCCCAATGCACCATTTGCTGCCTCTGTCACTGTACAGATCGTGGTGTCAGGTCAGGTCGAAAGCCCTGCACACTTTTAGTTTTTTCTGGTTACTTGGCTTTAAACAGAAGTGGTTTGGAAATCATTTGCTTCCAGTTCCTCACCGTAGCGAACGTCTTCAGCGAGCGGGATCTTTACCTGTCGCCAATCACGCCACTCCGGATTTGCTGGTCGTGTTTTTATTTGAATATTAAAAGGCCGTGTGAAAATCCAATGAATATAAATGCAGGCTACATCATCTCATCTGACCTGTGTAATCAGGTTGCATTCATCAAAGATAGTAGCGGCCGATGTCAAGTGAAGATGGGTAAGTGAGGAACAGCGAGCCGGAAATGAGGTTTATCCATCCTTCTGGTAGGTGGGCCACAGAAGGAAGAGAGAGTTACGGAAATGTTCAGCTCTGCTTTGTTGAATCTTCTCTCCCAAATGTCCTTCTCCCCGGAATTCTATACCGGTATTTTCACCATTACATGAATTATTACCCACAGTATTGCCGCATGCACCAGAGTGAGTGATTCTCTCTCGCTCTCTCTCTCTCGCTCTCGCTCTTATTCTGCATCTTTCAACGACTTCTTGCTGCCCGCCCTATGCTTTTAAGTTACTCGAAGAAACGTGTAAAGCACAGGGTAAAAATGATGGTGAGCAATGCTTACAGTTCTGTTCTGTAATGTACCGTACAGTTCACTGGTCATCTGAGTTCAAGTACACAAAGATTTGTAGAAGGTTGATGGTACAGAAAGATTTAAATCAGGTGAAGGTCAGTCATATATATATAGCCTTTCCTCGACACACTTGAGGGAAAAAAGAACAAATGGTTCATTCATATTATTGCAGCAATCTGTGCAGCATGAAATCCACATCTTTATTTCGCCAATTAAGCATTTAACTCTTTAAACCAAAACACACACATTTTTTCACGCAAAATAGCTTAGAAATGCGAGTGCACATTGAAGAATGTCTGACATATTTCTGTGTTTGCACTAGGATTTTTTTAAAAACTCCTTTTGCTTTTCTGTGCAGAAACCTATATTTTTGGTAAAGATCCACAATGTACAATATCATCAACAAGAACAAGTTGCATTTACTTAGCGTCTTTCGTGTTGGGAGGACGTCCCAAATTGCTGGACAAGTTGAGAGTTTCGAACTGAGCTGGGGATTGGATTCGAAAGGGGTGGAGGGCAAAATGGGGGGGGGGGGGGTGTGGAGGTGGGAGGATGGCTGAAGACACGGTCAAAGAGGAAGGTCTTGAGACAGGCCTTGAAGGAGGCAAGGTGGAGAGGTGGCGAGATGCTGGGGAAGAGAGGAGGCAAAGACGGAATGAAGTTATAGAGAGAGCGTGGGACAAACCGATGGTGGGTGGATTAGTCGGGCAGGATTTGAAACTCAAGTCCCTCAAGCCTTACGGAAGGATCGTTTGCCTGGAAACAAACTCCCCGCAGACTTGATCAGTGGCAGATTTAGAATGTACGCTCAACATCAAGCTCCCTTGCCGTTTTGGAGCCATAAACCTGACGGTGCTTTACGTTCCAAATAACAATGAGGTGGAACGATCGGTTAATGCTGCCTGGAGACCATTGATAACTGCAGCCCTGTCCCACCGAGGAGGTAGCAGGAATTATCTAAAGAGGGAAAGTAAAATAACAGCTTTCGAAAGGGAATTGGATAGCGACTTGAAGAGGTAATAATTAGCGGGGATATGGGGAAAGAGCAGAGGGAGTGGGACCGATTGGGTAGCTCTTCCAAGGAGCCGGCACAGGCAGGATGATGGACCGAATGGCCTCCTTCTGCGCTGTAATATTCTATGATTCTATGATAAGTCTATCTGATACGCAAACCAAAGCAGTTAGCCATCGATCCATGGCACAAACACAGTGCATAAGTCATCAAGCCTTCTGCACTATTTGATCAATTTAGGACAGCTTTTCACATTTCTAAGAGAAGAATAGACGAGTGAAAGGGAGGGAGTAAAGGAATGGGTGAAGACTTGTATGGAGTATAAACATAGACCTCTTGAGCAGAATGGCCTGTTTCCACAAGATACATTCTTTGTAAATCTTTGTATCCTGAGGCTTCAGGCTTGACAATAATAACAACCTGCATTTGATATAGCGCCTTATCATGTTGTTGCGACACCTCGTAGGATTTTTACTGTGAAGATTAGTGCCGGTGTGTTTGATGAAATCTGTGCTTAGTGTTGCTTTGCAAACCGGATGGTTTCAGGACAGCGTTTTACAAGATCTAGTTTAGATTCTGCATAGCCTCAATGGTAATTGGGAAAATAAATTCCTTTCAAGTTGGATTCAGTCTGCAATGAACATCATTCCTTGGTAACAAGGTGTAATACTGTGAATTGTTAAGCGACACGGAAATTAGAAAACTGTAATCCCTTTGACACTTTCCTTTGATGTTCAACAAAGACCAATAGAATGAATAGGTACAGCATTTTTACATTCAGTTTGCAGGAGTGCACAGTCTAATCTCTTAATTGATCAGTAGCAAGGTAATGTTATTGGCAAATATTCTTCAGCAGTTATAATCACCGCACCACTCACAAGACATTTCTTTACTGTTCATTATTCATCATCATTCTTCAAAGAAGATGTATCTTCCGCTGGCTGGAGTCTTAACGCGAACCTTTGCAAGCCGAAGCCTTAACAGGTAGGGAGGTCCAAGTTAAACAAACAGTGGAAAACGTCTGCAAGTTAATGTTCGTTGGTCATTCACTTCATGGTTTAAGCCGGTTAAAACTCCAGCAGTTACCCCAACGAACACTCTGGGATCCCCAAGCCTTGGCTCTTGCTAACCTGTACCTGAGACTTTCTGTATTTAGGTAAGCAGAGTGTGACCCTCCAGGGAAACAACTGCACGTTCCATTCCAATCAATTGGTAATTTCCATGCATTGGTGGAACTCTTTGTAGTTCGGTTTCGATATTCCTTAACATGGTGATGGAGTCTCGTGTGTGTTAAATACACTTGGCTGACAGAAATTTTTTTAAAAAAATTTGGATGAAACTTTCAGATATTCCAAGCCACTCCCTATTTACTGCAATGCAAATTATCCTGTAAATCTTACTGTGTAAGATCAAATAGTGCTTAAGATCTAAGTGGTTCGATTTGATGCCTATAGTAAATTATGACCAATTTACTAGCCTTCAACTCATTGCATAAGGCTTATTAGCAACAGTTCACAATGCCTTTAATCTTTCCACTCCAGTACGCCATTAGATGTCTTTATTATGTGTAGCAAACACTTAGCAATATAATATTTATAAATCTCTTTCGACATCTTACAGCATGAAATTGCATAAGAGCCAATTTTGGATCATCTCTGACCATTAATTCACCTTAAAATGAACGCATTCTCTGACAAACATTCCATTTTAAAATGTTTTACTAATGAGACAACATAGTCAAATCATATAATAATAATAATAATAATACTTGCATTTGAAGTAGCGTCATTTACATCCAAAGGCAGTCTCAAATCACTTCACAGAATTTACTGTTATAAGGAGTGACTGTGTATCTCGTAAGTGAACGTGGCAGCCAATTTGTAAACATCGATGACCCACAAACAGCCATCAAGTGAATGACCAATTTTAACTGAGGGGTTGTTGGCCATGACACCAGGAGAAACCTTACGAACAGTGCTATGAGATCTTTAAAGTGCACCTGAAAAAGGTAGACAAGGCCTTGGTTTAATGTCTAATCCGATGGACAGAACCTCTGACAATGTAGAGCACCCAACCCAGTTTTGCATTCGAGTGTCAGCCTTTTAAGTGGGTCTTCTCTGGATGTGGACTGGGCAGAGAGTTGAAAGAGAAAAGATGTTGAGGTGAGACTTCAACAAAGAGCAGATCTGCTGCAAAGAAATTGTGATCATATTCGTATTGATTGAAAGAACGTGCATCTCCCTTTAAATGCTTGCTTGATCACCAGGGTTTGAATATTCATGCAAACAAAGTGGTTATTTCCAGGTGAAAGAACATTAACCATCCACGATCCGAACGTATAATTGCCTGGAGCGGGATTTGTGCGAGAGCTATCCTGAAGTCACAAATAAAATCTTATGTGAAGAGGCGAATTGGGGAAAAGATTTACAGTGCGTGGAATGTACCCTTCTGCTATTAACAGCACT